CGAATTGAGCATCTGTTAAAATATCATATTTTGTACAAACATCTAAAATGCGTTTATTAAGTATAGAAGTAAAAAGTTTACTAAGACAGCTTAGTAAACTGATGCCTCGAAAGTTATTAGGGTCATTACGTGTACCTTTTTTACGAACAGGAATAATAATAGCAGATGACCAATTTGCAGGAAAACACCCGGCTTCTAAAATATTGTTAAACAACATACACAAATTGGGAAGGAGTAATTCTTCACAGTTAATAAAGCATTCATTTAACAAACCATCCAGTCCATGCGCTTTGCCACATTTCAAATTTCGAATAGCAGATTTTACTTCATTAAAAAGAATCGGTGCATCTAGTTCGTCATAAATAATATCTTTATCAATGAAAATGTTGTCCTGTTGAAATGAGTCATCATCGTTTTGTACATTTGACAATTTTTTTAAATGATCATATAGTTGCTCGCCTGTCAATAATGGCGAATTACCTTTTTTCTCAGAAAACTTTCTGTAAAAATACCTAGGATTGTGTTTTCTCATATGTTCCAGCATGTCTCCTTCAGTACTTAAGTATTGCCTTTTAGACTTAGCTTCCATTTTTTTATATTCCTTTTCCTTACTAATAAGAACAGCATGAGTAGTAAGACTTTTGTTACAATTAAAACTATGCAGTGCATCGAAATACTGCTTACGCTTTTTTTTACATGATCATTAAACCAGGGTTTATTATCTCTACTTGCAACAGTAACATTTACATTAATTGAACTATCAACACATTTCTAAAAAACAATTATATTGAGCCTTTATAGATTTTGAAAAGGCTTTTGATAGTGTTTGGAGAAAAGGCCTTCGGAACAAACTTTTGGTTAATAATATAGATGGAAAATTGTTCCGATTTATTACAAATATGTACAATGACATTAAGGCTAGAGTGATGAAAGATGGCGTATTCTCGAATGTATTCCCATGTAGTACTTGGTCCGGCAAGGCGACAATCTTTCCCCGTTTTTATTTTCACTTTTTCTTAATGATTTAGAAGATTTTATGAAATCACGTGACTGTAAAGGTCTGTCTAATATAAACGACCAGCTAGAAGAGGATTTACATGTATATATGAAGCTTTATGTTATGCTATACGCTGATGACGCTATACTACTATCAGACACGGCAGAGGATTTGCAAAAGCAATTAGATGTATTTTTCGAATATTCCAACCTATGGCATCTTAAAGTCAATATCAGCAATACTAAAATCATGGTATTTAGTAGAAAACGAATTCCTGATGGCCTTAAGTTTACATTCAACGGTACTGTTATAGGAATAGCTAAGGATTTTAAATATCTTGGGGTTTATTATACTAAAACTTGGTTGACACAGTTTAATATTAAACAACTGTATGGTAAAGGTTTAAAAGCAATGTATGGTGCTTTTTCCAAATGTAGGGATCATAATTTGCCAATAGATTGTCAACTTGATATATTTGACAAAGCCATCAAACCTATTGTTTTATACGGATGGGAAGTTTGGGGTTTCTGTAACTATAAACTTATCGAACGTTTACATTTAAAATTTTGCAAACACATACTTAATGTTAAAACGTCTACACCGAACTTTATGATATACGGAGAACTTGAGAGGTTTCTGCTAGATATTAATGTCAAAGTAAGAATGGTCGGATTTTGGGCTAAATTGACAAAAAAAAAAAAAAAGGAATAAATTAAGTAATAAACTGTTAGCAATTTTATCAAATAATGAATCATCATGGCTAAAATATGTTAAAAGTATTTTTGAAGAATGCAGTCTGATACATATATTTAATAGTCAAGAGTTTCAAAGTACACATGGGCTAAAAAGTACCATATTTTATAAACTAAAAGGAAAATTGATATCAAACTGGAGAAATGAAATGTATACTTCTCCGAAAGGAACCAATTATAGAATATATAAGTACGAACTTTGTTTAGAAAAGTACTTACTAGAACTCCCTCCGAAACTAGCCAAAGCGTATTGTAAGTTTAGAACATGTAATTCTAAGTTACCAATTGAAAGTGGTAGGTGGTTCAATATACCGCGTGAAAATAGATTATGTAGTTTATGTTATTTAAGAGAAATTGGTGACGAATTTCATTATCTGTTTACATGTACACATCAACCAATTCTCAATAGTAGGCGAAAATATATGTCCAGATATTATTATGAAAGGCCAAACACATTTAAATATCATACATTATTCAATTATGTAACACGACATGAATTGACATCATTGGCAAAATTTCTTACCAATATTAATGACATAATCAATTTACAATACACTGTATTGTTTATGAGAATAAAAAAAATAAAAAATAAAAAAAAACAACCTAAAAAATGCTCGCCCCTAGCACCTTGTGTACCTTGGTCTGCACGCTCGCCCCTAGCACATTGTGTACCTTGGTCTGCACGCTCGGCCCTAGCACCTTGGGTACCTTGGTATGCATGCTCGCCCCTAGCACCTTTTGTACCTTAGTCTGCACGCTCGCCCATAGCACCTTGTGTACCATGGTATGCATGCTCGCCCCTAGCACCTTGTGTATCTTGGTCTGCATGCTCGCCCCTAGCACCTTGTGTACCTTAGTCTGCACGCTCGCCCATAGCACCTTGTGTACCATGGTATGCATGCTCGCCCCTAGCACCTTGTGTATCTTGGTCTACACGCTCGCCCCTAGCACCTTGTGTACCTTGGTATGCATGCTCGCCCCTAGCACCTTGTGTACCTTAGTCTGCACGCTCGCCCATAGCACCTTGTGTACCTTGGTATGCATGCTCGCCCCTAGCACCTTGTGTATCTTGGTCTGCACGCTCGCCCCTAACACCTTGTGTACCTTGGTCTGCACGCTCGCCCCTAGCAAAGGTGTATCTTGGTCTGCTAAGAGACCTTGGAAACACCAAGGATAGTTCAGCCGCACCCCCCAATATAAAGTGTACTGCAAGTTCCGGGATGGGGAGGGGGATTCGTAGGACGAGAAAAAACAATAAAAGGTCGTTTTATTGTAGTTTAAACAATATTTTACTGATAAATAATATAGAACAAATGTAAATCAAAAATATCCAAAATGATTTGGTAACAGGCTTATATTTTCTTAAACGGCTTTCGCCGCGAACAATTTCATTACAAGGCGCTTTGCCGCCCGTGACAAAATGTAAAAACGGTGTTTATTTTTAACAACTCTTTATCGCCGCGAACAATGAAAAAAAATGAAATGATTAAAAGCGCCTTTTCCAGTTTAACTTGCTTTCAAGGTAGGTACGGTGCGTTTTTCGCTTTGTCGTGACATGACCTGAATCAATTACACAATTTCCTCATTATGAAGTTTGACCCAATACTAGAAAATTCGAAATTCGTTTGTACTTTTCACTGTATGAGGAATTTCCAGTTGGCAATCATATTGTCTATGAATGCCAACTGATAAATTTTGAATTTAAAATTTTAGTAAACATAATTAAAAAATAAATAAATCTAAAATATTTATCTATGAAAAAAACACCTCAAAATGGTTGTAAGTAGACATAAGCATGTAACTCGTTCGAAGTATTAAACTTTTAAGATTGTCCATATATTTAATTCACCTATACATTGCGGGAAAACAAGAGGGAATCGTAGATCTCATCTTTATTTATGTCTTTCCGTTTATTGATTAATCGTTGTTAAAGATAGTGTTACCAGTAAAGCTAGACGCAAAATTTTCCCACATACTTTTGAAACAAAGTGATACACCTACGGTCCTACGATATCATGCATGAAAGGGAAAACAACGTCCAATGCCTTGATATGGAAACACAAAAGGAGTTCCGAATGGAAGGATAACGTCATTTCCCACAATTCAATGGATTAAAGATGGAAGGAAGAGGATAGATCCACGAACACTCGCATCGCAAATGTCGCCTTTTCAACGAGCTTTCGGCATCTGCGATTGGATTTGGTGTTGAAGTATTTACTTTCTTTCATTTTTAATCAGCAGTGTAGAAATTGTACCGATCTGTTGTCTCTAAAATCTGTCATCATCGATTGTCTCAACCCCGAGGCCGGTGATTGGCTTCACCTGCATTCTCATTAGGCTAAGAAATGGAGGGGGATGCTTGAGGCCCCGATCATGTTATGATACGGACTTTACCTTAGCTGTCAATTGTATGTATATAGTTCGAATATTTTAAGCTTTAGAGGCATTCCACAACCTCAAAATGGGTGACGAATGTGGCATTAAAGTGGTGTGTCGTGTGCGACCCCTGAACTCGTCCGAGGAAAAAGCAGGGAGTAAATTTGTCCTGAAGTTTCCAACGGACGATTCTATACACTGTGGGGTAAGTTTGCTAATTGTTGTCATTTTCTATACATTTTCAACCCCATTGTCTTACTCTCCTGGTCGTGTAATGCATGATTCACATTTCTTATTTATAATTTATAAATGACAAATCTTATCATCATAATTCATGACAAGATATGTATCCGGTGGAAAAGGACCGAGATCGATGCCTAGATATATCTTTCTAGTCTGTTAATGATGAAATGAATCATATTATGCATACATAATATAATACATTGTTAACACGAAGCTTCATCTCTGAATTATTCTTTGATGCTGATATTTGGTTTGAGGGGTCAACAAGTCGACCTTTGATGCAGACACGTTAGAGCTTCATTGATTGGTTGCTGTTGTATGTTACATCATGGCAACTGGTGCTGAAGCTGTCAACTATGTACCATAATCAAGCAATATCACAAATACAAATATATTTAATATTTATATCAATCATACACTGATTTATGATTATGAAAACTCACAATCATTAATTTCAATTTATTATAATTATATATAATATAACTTCCATGTATGTAAACCATTTCCAGCATTAAATATTTAGTCATCATATTGATTCAATACATTCAATGCTTTGTTGTTGTTTTCTCATTATATTATAATTAGGCAAACAGAGTTTTATAGAACAGGACTGAAGAAGCAGTATTTAAAATAGATGTATATGTATACATCATTGAGCCTTGCTAATTCCTTTTCTTTGGTTTATCAGGCCAAAAGATAAATGGGAAGTGTGCTAACTGAAATGTTATATTAGTCGATAATGTCATTTCATTATCATAAAAATAAGTCATTCATTAATTTCTGATTAAGCGTTCAGATGTTGTAGTGTCATACAATATTATAGGAACATTGTATACATGTATGTATATATAGCATTATACTAATCACACATATTAATGATGACCAAACTTTTGATATGTACATTTCCTGTCTTTATTATATATATTAAGTTTAATTTCTTTAGACAAAAACAAATTTGATTTTTGTAACTTTTTTTAGCTCACCTGGTCAGAAGGACAGGAAAGCCTATTCCTTCTTTGCGTATTGCAGAGTTATCTTCTCTTGTGAGCAGGTATTAATTGTTACATCATTGGTTTGTGTGAGAAAATGACGTTGTTTTCTCAAAAATTGTTGACGTTACTCTCACAAACCAATGACGTAACAATCAATACCTGCTCACAAGAGAAGATAACTCTGCAATACGCAAAGAGAGAATACCATGGTGCGGCGTCTGTCATCCATTTGTCATCTTTTTCTTTAAAACACTACTTGTCCTGAATGGCTTAGTGGATTTTGAATGTATTTGACCTGTAGTAGCATATCATTGGCAAAGTGGATTCAAAGTTTTAAACAGAGGGTGTAACCACCACACCCCTATTGCCACCAACCTGGGGGCAAAAGGGTAGACCAAAAAGGGAAAATTTAGATAAATTTAGGTAAATCTTTAAAATTATTCTGTACAAATGGAGGGATTTTAATCAATTTTTCTATATATAATTTCTGGGCAAAAGGGGACCTATAATTGTACCTAAACAAAGACAGTTTCACTCCTTAGGGGTAGGGGGGCATTAGGAACAAAACAGGGGGGGGGGGGGCTTAAATTCTTCCGTATTAATGCATGGATCTTTATATTGACCAAATTTGGTGTAGAGCATAGCCATATACTTAGGTAAAAGGGACTTTATTTGTGTAAAGTAAAACACTAAACTTAAGGTGTGGTCCCCCAGTGTGTAAAGGGTCAGATTGCAACAATTGGGGTCCAAGATGGGAAATAGTGTTAAATCTCTTTCCTCCTATAAGAATGTAGGAATTTTAACCAAATTATGACAAGATGAATCTTTGAGCATCAGGAACTCAATCTGATGTTAATGGAGGCTGTGGTCCCCCCAGACGGCCAGGGCTTATATTTATATATATAGTAAAACTTAAAATCCTTTTTGTTGCATACAGAAGGTGGATCTAAAGGGAATTGGATATATAGAGTTCAGGCCCATTATATAATTAGGGTTCAATGCTGTTATAAATCAAGGGTGCCCAACCCCAAATGGGGACAAAGTGATGGGGTCCAAGGATGTTGCTGTCTACGGACAGAGCAAATATTTGCAGTGTAATCTTTAAATAGGAATATTTTGCCATGATTACTTAAATATCCAGGAGAGGGATAAAAGCCCTTATGATCAGGTTTAACATTTTTGAAATTTATGTAGCTAACAAATTCGGTTACAATAATTTTATGTTGTTTAATGGGAAAATAGTCTTGAGCTTCTCGGAAGATTGCATTTTAAGTTTAGAGTAGGCTCAAAAAATAAGGGTATATATATAGACCAAAAACAAGATGTCTGTTTAGGGTTCCCGACAGACCCTAGCTTTTTACCCCCGGTCCAAAACATTTTGATAAAAAAAAAAAAAAAAAAAACTTCTGATTTTCGAATTTAAAAGGTTCATTGCCTTTCAAAATGGCTTCCAGCTCTGTTTTGGCGCTAAATGTCATCATATGGAGCACAATTTGCCTCCAAATGAATGTTGTTTATGTAATTCTTTGTTTTACATACAATAAATTGTAGGATCATAACCACATGACCACAAGGTACATAAAAATATACACAAAAAAATCAAAAAAATCCGACCAACCTACCCTTGTTTTTTTGCCTCAACCCTAAACAGACTATATATTTTTTTGGGCCATGTATATAAATAAAACAAAACACGACTAGTATAATCGGCTAGCGCTTTCTCCCATCTTGGGGCCAAGCTCTTCCAGGCAATTTAAATTTATTTGTGACGTCATAAATTGAGTACACATGACGTCACAAATAAATTTAAATCGCCGGAAGAGCCCCAAGATGGATGAAAACGCTAGCCAATTATACAAGTCTTCGTGTTTTGTTTTATTTGTATTTTTACCGTTACATGGACATTCAAACACAAAATGATTTTGGTTTGGCCTTAACTATTGCAAGGACAAAAAACAGCAAGCAATGTTAAAATTCTTCTGATTTAAGACAGAGATGAGATTATATTAATGAGATGACTTTTGTTTGTCCAGGGGAGGCTGTTTGTGTTTGATAAAGTGTTGAAGCCTAACGTGAGTCAGGATTATGTCTACGAGACTTCAGCCAAATCCATTGTTGCTGGTAAGATGTAATTAAGTTAATTATCTTAGCTTTGTTGTTATAGTAGTGCAGTTTGTCTACATGTATGTTACCTATATATTTCTGTTTGTGACAATGTGTTTCACACAACACATTATTGTCATACATTGTATGTAGTGCAGTGTTCTCCCAAAGCTGTTTTTGCAGCATGGCACCATGCTCCTATAATTTCTTGCCATGCTGCTATCCTAGATCTTCTCTGCTATATATTCATAGTAAATATAAAGTTACCATGCTGCTATCCTAGAACTTCTCTGCTATATATTCATAGTAAATCTAAAGTTACCATGCTGCTATCCTAGAACTTCTCTGCTATATATTCATAGTAAATCTAAAGTTACCATGCTGCTTTGATTTTACATAAAGTGCTGCTTTAACAGAAATATTTAGATACCATGCTTCTTTCAAAACATTCTGGGGAGAACACGTGTACACTGTAGTGTATTATTTGTTTCCATAGTAACTAATTATAACTGTATGATCACCTGCATCATCAGATCAGAATTCTTCATGATCATTATGAGCCAATCATAATGGATCGGGGGGGAAATCAGGGATCCCCACTGGGTCCTATGGATTTCTTGGGATATTTTTAATAATAATACAGGCATAATTTTACCCAGACTGGATTATTATTTACTAATAAGGCATTCACAGTTCTTAAGAAATTCTGACCGATTTTTGAAAAGTTTCTCAAATGTTGCATCATCATCATCTACCCGCCCAAAGTGATTTTCTAGTCACCATGATTACTGTCAAAAGATACATCGTATGTACAGTACAGGTAATTAGCGAATAGCACAATACACAGATCCTGGTAAAGACATGGGAGCATATTGTCATATCTTCTCCATGGAATTATTGAATGATCATATAGATGACTATTTTACAACAAAAAAGCATTGATTATTTTCGTGCATTATGTACATGTTTCAGAGTCTTTTTGTCTATAATGTGCATGTTTATATGATTTTATAAATACACATACTTAGCACATACCGGTATGTGTACGAGTAATGTCTGATTATGTATATATACGTATACGTACCTGCTACACTTCCAGGCATCAGTATACATTATGTGTATATGTTACATGTTGACATTAAATCATTACTTAATGGACCATTTTGTCACAGGTAGATATATAAGGTCTTCGTTCCTTGATATGTGGAACGAAGAATTTACTAAGTACATGTACATTGTAGATGATATATTAGGTCTTCGTTCCTTGATATGTGGAACGAAGAATTTACCAAGTACATGTACATTGTAGATGATATATTAGGTCTACGTTCCTTGATATGTGGAACGAAGAATTTACCAAGTAGATATATTTAGGGGCAATCAAACTGGTTCTATTGTTTGGGAAGGACTTAGATCTAGAGACTTTGAGCCATTTATTATGACGGGTTGTGATCACGATGATGCTGTAACAAGGTACTGTACATAACACAGTTATTGAGTGCTTGTTTATACACAACCCGTCACAACCAACAGAAGACTGTGTTAGCCTATAATTGGGAGGCATTTCAAAACAACAATCAGCGTTACTGCCAGCTGACTTAAGACATTTCTGAAACACAGATTTTTTTTTATATACACCAAACACACAGTGAAATGGAGATGTGGTTACCAGAATCTGAATTACTGGTTTTTCTTCTCATCTTCTGCCATGGTCTTGTCTTGTTTTATACTTTTCTAAAAGTTTACACTTTTCTCAAAAACTACAGGGGGTAGTTAGGGGTACTATTGATGATCACAGTCTCTAGTCTACTACAGTTAATGGCTTGTTCATTAAAAGAGATCATCTTAAAATGAGTTTGTGCTCATTTCAAGTAAAACATATAGCTTAATTTCACATCAGCATTATATATATAGTCTGCTCAGTTCCGTTCTTAGATGCATTGAGAAAATGTAATTGATACCTTTACACTTGTGATATGTATACATAGGTACTTGGTGCTTAGGAGAATACTGTATATATAGCAAGACGTTTTTACCCTTTGACTACAAAATCCATTTTTGCCCAATATTAAATTTGCCCTTCACATTTAAATACTATGTATCTTATGTTGTTTACACATTTTCACTGTAATGATAAATTCGCCCACAACAGGAGGATGAAAAGTAAACTGCAGCGAAAATTTCCCGGTAGACGTATCACTTTAGTACTGGCTTGTACGTGTACTGATCAAATAAATACAAAAACAAATTATTCCTTTTCTGGCAGTCTGCAGGAGACCCTACTCAGTTTCAACTTTTGCCATGCCGACTCGTTCAACACAGCAGCAAATACAGAGTTAAATGTCAGACATTTAGACACTACTTCAAGAAAATCAATAGAACAGAAAGCAAAAACGATGTTTCAAATTTGAATCATTGGCAACAAAATCATAACATTTATGATATTTACAATGCATTTGATATTTCATTGGTCACCGATCTAGTCACGGATCTAGTCGTCACAGATCTAGTCACCGATCTAGTCACAGTTCTAATCGTCACAATAATCTAGTCACATATTTAGTCGTCACATATCTAGGTCACAGTTCTAGTCGTCACATATATCTAGTCACAGATTTAGTCGTCACAGATCTAGAGTTGATTAGATATATTATCAATTTATGAAAAATATCGACATACACCATACATACCTGTGCTAGTATATATATATGCATCACGACAAATATATTCCTGCAGGTGACAGAATATCTACAGCAAAGTTTTATAGGACAATTTGTTCTCAAACAAATGGGCGAAGAATTGAAGCTGAAAGAAATTAAGAGTCCATGATCAAAACTTGTTTCGCAAACAAATATAAAAAGACCATCAAAATATAACATGTTATTGGTTGAATGTGCCAGTAAAGGAGCTTGAGTTAGACCATCTAACACATGTTGCTGGCTGAAGTCAGTGAAGATGAGAATTTAACACTATAGACCAATTAACATGTTGCTGGCTATAAAGAGGAGAATTTAACACTATAGATCATCTAACATGTTGCTAACTGAAGATGAGAATGTGACACTATAATGATCATCTAACATGTTGCTGACTGAAGATGAGAATTTAACACTAAAATGGCCGTCTAACATGTTGCTGACTGAAGATGAGAATGTGACACTATAATGATCATCTAACATGTTGCTGGCTGAAGATGAGAATTTAACACCATAATGACCATCTAACATGTTGCTGGCTGAAGATGAGAATTTAACACTAAAATGGCCGTCTAACATGTTGCTGACTGAAGATGAGAATTTAACACTATAATGCCCATCTACCATGTTGCTGGCTGAAGATGAGAATTTAATACCATAATGACCATCTAACATGTTGCTGGGTGAAGATGAGAATTTAACACTATAATGACCATCTAACATGTTGCTGGCTAAAGATGAGAATTTAACACTATAGATCATCTAACATGTTGATGACTGAAGATGAGAGTTTAACACTATAATGACCGTCTAATTAACATGTTGCTAGATAAAGATGAGAATTTAACACTTTATTGACCATCTAACATGTTGCTGGCTATATATAAAGATGAGAATTTAACACTATAGATCATCTAACATGTTGTTGACTGAAGATGAGAATTTAACACTATAATGACCGTCTAACATGTTGCTAGATAAAGATGAGAGTTTAACACTATAATGATCATCTAACATGTTGTTGGCTGAAAATGAGAATTTTATTCTGTAATGACCGTCTAACATGTTGCTGGCTGAGTGAAAAAGGTGAGAGTATACGACTAGTGTGAGTCAGCATTAGATGAGCTCCGCCCCACATAACCTTGTATTGATTATCGGACCAGCAGCTGGAGCACACATTTTACATTGCAGTAGCTATAGATGTTCCGTCGCTCCATGGTTTAACTCCACTGCAGAGGTATACACCATGGCAGTGTATACACTCCTTCAACCATCTACATGTAGAATACTGACACAATACATCATAATCAAGCTTACATTTTAAGGTCATATTGTTTCATGATTAAACAATTAAACACTGCCAAACCCAAAAATTCAGTTTCCTTCCTGATCCTGTGATAGATAATCACTATCCTGCAAGTGGATTAATCCATGAGCGACCGAGATAATGCCTATAAATAGATCCATAATTAGGATAACAAATTGGTGTACCATGTTTTGAATATTCATATTTGTTAAAAAAATATATATTTCTAAATCACTTCATGGAATCTGGAGGAATAAAAGAATTGGAGTGATTATCTTTTAATGTCAAAACAACTGCATGTAATGTACATTTCTTTGTCCATCAGGATTTTTTTATTGCATTGTCTTGCACCATGGAAATGGCACATGCATATCCTTAGAAGAAGCATGCCCTAGCCTTTATAATACCAGCAAAGGGATTTTGGTACATTGTATACCAGGTTGTATGTCTGTATAAGGTGGGTTTGTCATACTGCATAATTTCTAATGTACATCGTCAAGATTGGTGTAAGCCTGCAGGCTTCCTGAAAAAATAAAGATGTCATGATGACTGGTCTCATAAGCTGTGATAACAGCTGAAAATTAGTATCCACTTGTAACATGTCAAAATATAGATCACTCTTATCTCCTCCTGAATTGGTGAAAGTGCTCTGCGGCTGTAATGTTCAAACTTCTGGTTTAGGTGTAGTGTTTATATCCCTCCTGTATGTCAGGAAAAATGAGTAGGTTGATCTGAAAATTAAACTCTACAACATTTCATCTTGGCTGCTCCCAAAATTGAACAGCATTTCGTCTTGGCTGCTCCGAAATTTGACTTTATTTTGTCCACACTGTCTGCATCATTTAGTGTTTTATCATACACATGTATATATCTATACAGATGTATGTGTATATAACTATAAGCATACCAGTATGTATGGTACTTAAACATATTTCTAGTTTGAACAACATCCTATTCTCAGCGTTTCAGTGTATGCCTCCATTGAGATGAGCTTTGGGCAGATGTGTGTGTGTATT